ACTGGTTGCGCCCCAGAAGCGCTGTTCTCGATAAGGAAATACGTCATTGCCGACGGGGCGGGCCCCGCCTTCGCTTTCCACGTCGGTAAGTGCGCGCTCGTCAGTTTCCAACGCGGCGCAGCCGAGATGGTCTCTGCAGCCGCCTTCAACACCTTGGTTTGTGATCTCAGGCACGGGTTGAAGAAAGCCTTCGTGATTCATTTGCAGAGCGAGCAGCCCGATCGCCAACACCGATCTCTGGGGCGCGACTCGCTTTGTGGCACGGGGGCCCAGAAAACCATCAAGAAGCGGCCTGCGTCTTCCAGCAGGGGCTCAGCAGCTACCGCCCTAGGTCAAGTGGGCGCGACATCAGATCGGTGGCCTGAGGGATTGGCTTCAGCAGTGCGAGAGGAGGCTCTTCACTGGTGGAGCCTAACTGGTTGCATGGGCGACTACGCCGAGTTCGGTTCTCCGCATCACTGGGGATGCCCTGCGTGCATCGCCAGGGACTTCAGCGAGAAACGTTATTTGATCACGCACATGAACAGATATCATATAAAAAGCTCGCCGCAGCATTATTTCAGAAAAAGTGCGATACGATGTAAGTGGGCAATGGGACCAGGTGGTATCACGGTCCCGCTTAAACAAGCTGCGCGGACGCGATGGTCAGATCTCTGCTGGAAACATTGTGAATCGCTGCGTAGTTGGCATCAGATCTCAATTGGAGGAGAGCCCCTCGTGGTCGCAATGGGGAGGCCAACTCGCTTTTGACGTGATGCGGCTGGACAAACAAATCACCATTTTATTGGACTTAGCGAGCACAAAGTATGTGCTAACGGAGGATTGCAACAGGTACCACAAGGTGTCCGACAAGTTTTACTGCACTGGCGTCTCCCTGAACGCTTACCTCGCTGCCATGATTCACCCGAATGCGAAGGGGGCTACGCAGCGGATAGTTTCTTTTCTCGTTGCTCAGTCGGGCGACAAATCGCATGTGTTCCCGACCGGGGAAGCGTTCTACCATATTTTGAAAGAGAAAATGGCCAATCACATCAGTGTCCGGCGTGCCGTGGAAAGATGCCGCGCGGCTTGCGACGTCCGCGTCTTGGGCGTGGATGGGTTCTACAAGTCATTGATGTCTGCGCTGTGCCAAGTTCCGCACGGACAGAAGCAAGACGCAGTTCCAGGGCGAGATCGGGTTCCATTGCGCGTTCTTATTACTGCCCAGTGCAACGCCAGCATACTCGAGATTTTCGGTTCCAGTTCGGAAGACCCCGTCCAGCAGGCGCGCGCTCTTCGGAATTCTGTTCGCAGAGTGGATGCGGAGAAGGTGCAGATGATTTGCTCCGACTTTCCTGCGTCTTTAGAGAAGTGCAGCCAGTTGCGCGCCGCGTTTCCTAACCTGAAATGCGCCAGCAAAGACCTGCTGCACATTGCCCTCAAGGTCGAGCAAGCATCCAATGCAAGGACGACGGCATTCTCTTCCAGCGTTCGTAAATGCATTGCTAAACTTCGCCTCGGGGGATTTGGCAGATCTCGTTATTTTCAGTGTAGTGATGGTCGCGCGGGGCCTTCCGAACTAGTGGCCGCAATTGCTGCTATGAGGCCATCAGATGCGAAAAGCTTGCACCACCGCATCCAAAACAGCAGCAGCTACGTGGAGAAGCCGTACGATCTCATGTACGACTTCATCCAGGACCTGGCAGCGATCTGCTCAGCACACCCAAACATGACGCATCGCAAAACAGCTAAGAATACTACGGTGCTCAGCAGTTTGGAATACGCGACCACGGCGCAGGAGCTGGGATACATTCATTTTTTTGCAAATACGTCGCCAACAACCCAAACCATGACGTCATATTTGGAACCACTCGCAACGAAGCGTTCCACAAGCAGCTGAAGGCTTTTTACAGAAACGCCACGTGGCAAACACAACGACACGCTTTGTGCATTGCTGCTGCGGCGAAGTTGGCAAAGCTGTTCATCGGCTTCTTATCAAAGTGCCAGCGTGACCAGTCGCATTCTTTTGCAGAGCACGATATATTTGCCCAGCTCTCCCATTTAACATAGGCACCTCTTAGTTTCGTGCCCCGTATGAATCATGCTGTGACAGCGAACGTATCAGTAGACCAGGCCCTGCTGCCCTCAAGCGCAAATGTTACCCGCAAGCGCCCAGCATCTGCGATGTAGGTATCACTGTTCCTTCACAACTGGCCCGCGTGCGTTCTTACTGGTTGTCGTTGCATCCGAAAACAGCTGCCCTTCTTAACCCGATCGCACGCCCGTTTCATGGCAATAAAAACGAAAGAAACCAGTGCGTTAAATAGAACCATATTTTGAGTCCACGGGGCGCGGGGGGGGAACGCCAGCGCTTTAAATAACAACCAAATGAAAGGTTGGGCGAAGCAGGAACGCAGCCCGCCCGTGAGAGTGCTCTCGTTTTCTGGCAGGACTACGCGGGAAGGCGTCGGCCCGCGCCGGCGTGAACTCCCCAACCTGCTGGTGCAGAAGCGGGCCCTTACGAGCATGTGGAAGTATGGGGAGTTCGCGCTACCAGAACAACGTGATTCTTGGATGACATTGACTGTGGACGCGGGCGGGCAAGGACACGGGACCTGGAAGTTAGAAAGCGAAGCCTCCAGGTGTTGAGAAGCGCCGTCGAAAGGACTGCGCTGCGCGAAACTCCAGGTGTGGGCAGAGAGCAAAGTGGCAAAGGGCGGGCGCTTGAAGGGGGAGGAGAAGAAAGCTGGGGGGGGAACTTCAGATCGTTGATAGGCCAGCGCGCCTGCAGAAAACACATCTCATCGTTTGAGCGACGACAGGAGCAGGGTCTCACCCACGAGGACATGACGAGATTAGGCCACGACTTACGCGGGCCGACAGCGTGGCACACCGCTTGGAGAAGAGGGCACTTACTCGCGACCTTTGCGCGGGAAGCTTACCCAGGAAGGTCCAGCCAGGCCAGTCGGCCGCGCTTTCTTCAGTCGCTCATTTGGGGCGCAATGAGCGTCGTGATCAAGCCTTGGTGCCTCGGGCAATCCTCAAGCACTCTTCAAGTATGTGTGTGTTTGCGTCTGGGTGAGTCTCTCTCTGAGCGCGGGCAAGGCCCTTAATTACGCAAGTCGCTTCAATTCAACCCGCTGTCAAATCTCCGTCCCTCCTGGTCGGATTGACATGACATCCGCATCACGCCAGCCCACCGCGGCATCACGCCAGCCCACCTCGGAAAGGTGCGTGTGTGTGTGTGTGTGGCCGCGTGCGCCCGCTCCCGCCGCTCGCCTTACTCGGCCTCGTCACTGCGCGCGAGGCCGCAACCGCCAAACAAGTGCAGAAGTACGTGCATGTGTGAGCGTAACTGTGTGTGTGTGTGAGAGCGTGTGTGTGTGTGTGTGTGTGTGTGTGTGTGTGTGTGTGTGCGTGCGTGCGTGCGTGCGTGCGTGCGTGTGTGTGTGTGTGTGTGTGTGAGTGTGTGCGGGTGTGTGTGTGTGCGTGCGCGTGCGTGAGTGTGTGTGTGTGTGTGTGTGCGTGTGTGTGTGTATTTGTGTGTGTTCGTGCGTGTGTGTGTGTGTGTGTGAGTGCGTGTGTGTGTGTGTGTGTGTGTGTGTGTTCGTGCGTGCGTGCGTGCGTGCGTGCGTGCGTGCGTGCTTGCGTGTGGTGTATGTGTCTGTGTGCGTGTGTGTGTGTGTGTGTATGTGTATGTGTGTGAGCGTGTGTGTGTGTGTGTATGTGTGAATGTGTGTGTGTGTGCGTGCGTGCGTGCGTGCGTGCATGCGTGCTTGCGTGTGGTGTATGTGTGTGCGCGTGTGTGTGTGTGTGTGTTGGTGTATGCGTGTGTTGTGTGTGGGTGTGCGTATGTGTGTGCGGACTGCTTCGTCAAGCACCTCTTCTTTTGCACGTGAAACCGCCTGGCGGTTGCCCCGCATCGGCACTCGCTGAGTATCAGCCAGCTTAACGGATCTAGATGTCTCCCAAATGGGGTCCGAGTAGATGGGGTCGGAGGATCGCACAGCATTGCCGATGTATCGCTGATGCATCGGCAATGCATCGGGGATGCATCGGCGACGTCTGCGTGGAGGCAATCGGGATCTGCATCAGGCCGTAACGCCGTACATCGGTGATGCGGCGCGATCCTTCGACCCCATCTACTCTGACCCGACCTGGAAAGCCTCGAGCATCCCGCTAACGCCCTCGCTGAGTTGGATCAACCACACGCGAGGCAGAACAAACAACGTGCTGCTTCTCTGGCAATGTGCGCGTCTCGTGCTCCTTCCTCCTTCCACGGTGTTCGCTCCCGAAGTACATCGATCCCTGGCTCGCACCGGGATCCGCACGACCAGTTGAGGTTGGTGCACCCTCAGGCCATTCTCAAATCCAGCATCTGGAGGCTCCAGATCGTACAGCGTAGTTGGTGCTCACAGAAGCCGCCGACGGTTAGAAGTGCGTGTGCGTGCATGTGCGCGCGTGTCTTTGCGCCAGCGCGCGCGTCTAGGAGCAACGCTCAGCCACGCCACTTCAGAAGGAAGTCCATGACGTCGAGCGTGACGCTCGCCATCGTGACTGCCCGCCGATTGGACCCCTTGCCGCGTTGGGAGAAAACGTGTGTGTGTGCCCAGACATGCGATGTCTTAATGGTTCCAATGCGCGGTCCCCGAAAATCCCGACCCTTTTCCCAAGGGCCGGTTTTCGATCCCGAGCCATCTTTTGACAGTCCCGGGGCCTGGCGAAGGCCCCAAAGGCCGAAACCTACGAACAAAACAGTCGTGTTTTTTTCCACACGCTGGATGGAGCGCGTTTGTACTTAGATTCTGTCACGTTCACTTGCGCGACATTCCCCCCTTCCCCGCCGCCATTCAAACAGCGCTGGGCCGAAAAGGCATGAAAGTGAGCCCCGACTTGCGTGAAGCCAGACTTCCTTGCGGCCATCGCCACGCCGCCCCCCCACCCACGCGAGCAAACTCACCAGCATCTGAAGAAAAGCTGCCTCACGTCTGGGCCCCTCGCTGTTCCCCTGCCCGAGTCTCCTTCTCCCTCATCTCCTCCTCGAGCTGCAGGTTCTGCTCCTGCAGCCTCTGCCTCTCCTGCTGCGCCTCCCGGTCCTCCAGCAGCTGCTGCCTCTGGCGCTCCGCGCCCACGCTGAGCCGCCGCCGCTCCCGCCGGAGGGCCGCCCGCTCTGCGTCGAACTCCTCGTGCAGCGCCCGCTTCTCGGCCTCGACCTCCTGGGTGCCAAATTCTCGATACGGTAGAAGGAAACAATTAGTGGACACTACCCCGCTCCCCAAAACTCAAAGTTCGCACGCGCGGGGAAAACTGCGGTCGAAGTGCAGCTCATTGAAACCGCCTCCAACATTGATCATTGGGGGGGGGGCATTGACAGATAATGCGGCATGAATGTCCGCTAATTTCTTCCAAGGCCTGTGGTGCCGCAAGCCAATATTTGGCGGCGGTGCCGCCTCAAAATGCCGTGCATGCGAGGTACTGGCGATCTCTGCTGTGGTGACGGCGCCTTCGGTGGACCACCGACGGCCCACGGCACGCCATCAGGACTTGGCAGGGCGCTGGCAGAACAATCGCTCGCAAGCGACAACGTATTTGTCGAATTGTTTGATTTGAGGGTGACGTCGAAATCAACTGCTCCGTCTGACGAAAGAAGCGAAATCCGCCGACCAGTCCGCGTGTTTGAGGTGCTCCTCCGTTGGAGTCGGCATCTCTCCGTCATTCGTTCGTCGTGATCGCTGTCTCCCCCCTCTCTTTCCAAACTCTCCTCCTCCAGCGCACCAGCCACAACCACAGCGAAATTGAGCAATGCCGTAATTGAATCGACACGAAGGCCCCCCTGGGCGTTTTCACAAGCCTCTCCTCTAGCAAGCTACGACGGCCTCCCTTACCGTTTTCACCAGCCTCGCCTCCGCCAACGCGCACAGCAGACTCAGCGCGCCAACCACACCCACAGCGGAAATGAGCAACGTCGTAATTGACTCGAAGGGAGCCCCAAGAAGGTTTCAAATGCTCTCCGAGCTCTCCAACGATCAGGCGGTCTCGCGAAGTAGCCACTCGTAGTGGAATTGATCGACGGCATACTTGAATCGAAGGAAAGCCCGTTTCTTTTGATCCCTCCCCCGCCAGGGGGGGAGGGTCCCGGGGGGGCGGAGGGTCAGATACGACGGCCTCCCTGGGGCGATTCCAGACAGTGGAATTGATCAACATCGAAATTGAATCAAGGAGAGCCCATTCCATTTGATCCCCCCTCCCCCGCCGCCCCGCCTGCGGAGGGGCCCCGGGGGGAGAGGGTCAGACACGACGGCCCCCCCAGGGGCGATTCCGGGCAGTGGAATCGATCAACGTCGAAATTGAATCGAATGGACGCCCCTTCCCTTTGATCCCTCCCCCGCGGGGTGGGGTGTCCCGGGGGGTTGGGAGTTAGATACGGCGGCCTCCCTGGGGGGATCCGGGCAGTGTGATTGACCAGGGAGGGGGGGGTCCCGAGGGGAGGCCCAGGGAGTGGGGCGATCCGAGCGAGGGCAGCGAAGAACGGCCGCGCGTGGGCCGCCGCCGTCATCCTCGTCGTCGTCGTCGTCGTCGTCGTCGTCGTCGTCGTCGTCGTCGTCGTGGTCGTCGTCGTCGTTGTCATCGTGCTCGTGCTCGTCGTCGCCCTCGTCGTGCTCGTCGTCGTCGGCGTTGTCGTCGTCGTCGTCGCCGCCGCCGTCTCAGTCGCCATTGTCGTCACCGTCGCCGTCGCCGTCGCCGTCGCCGTCGCCGTCTCAGTCGCCATTGTCGTCACCGTCGCCGTCGCCGTCGCCGTCGCTGGCGGTCCTGTCTCCTAAGCTGGGTTGTCGCCCACCTTCCTCCCCTATCCTCCTCCACCTCCCATCCCTCCATCCTCCCTTCCACCGTGCCTTGCTACATTCCTTCCTTCGACATATTTTTACGATACGACATTTCCAATGTAAACGCCGACCCCGTCCCCCATCGAAGCATCCGCCAGACTCTCTACGGGGACACCAGGCTCCGTAGGCGAAGCACCTACCCTCCACCAACCACTCTCAAACCCCCGAATCCGAGTCCAAGTGCCAATGCTCTTCTAACGAAGCGCATCGGATGTCGTCGTTGGGCGTTATCGTTCAGGGTCGGCGGCAACGGCCGTAAGGCTTTCTCAATCAAAGACAGTAGGGGTAGAGGAAGAGAAAACCGCAGACATGCTCGGGTCGTGAACAAAAACACGGCGCGAGGTTGTTGGCCGTTTTCGGCCTCCTGGGGCCCTCGCCGGGCCGCGGGGCTTCCAACAAACACTCAAGAGGCAACGCTGGCCCTGGGAAGGAGTCGGGATCTCCGAGGACCGCGCATTGAATAAGTCAAGAGATCGCATGTCTTGGACGGCACAGAAGCACAGACTCTCGGAGGGCCGCGCGGGCTTCTTGAGTCGGCGCTGCACCACCCCTGGCGGCCCCTCCGGCGCAGCTCTTGGCGGGCTCAGCGCGCCAGGGAGGGGGGTCCAGCGCCGATCCCTGTTCCTTCGGATTTCGCGGGGCCTATCCCCACCGAGGAGAACGGACTGGTGGGGCTGAGACAGCATGGCTCAGTGAGGGTGGGGACAGCTTAGCCCATGCTGAACCCAAGAAGTCTGGGCGGACCGTTTGAAACTTTGTGCTTGAGAATTGCACCGAATGGCCGACGTATCGCCGATGCATCGCCGATGCATCGGCAATGCATCGACGCCGTCGGCGTGGAGAAAATGGGCAACCGCATCGAGCCGCATCGCCGATGCATCGGCGATGCGGCGCGATCCTCCGACGCAATCGACTCCGACCCCATCTGGGGGGCCGAGACTTCCGCGGCTCCTGCCACAGCTTCTCGCGCTCCCGCTGCACGTCCCGCTCGGACTGCTGCGCCTGCGCCTGCGGCCCCTCCCCGGGACGACCCGCGGGAGGAGCCGGGGGGGGGGGTCCCGCTGGTGGTGTGGCCCCCTCCTCCTCCTTCTCCTCCTCCTCCTCCTCCTCCTCCTCCTCCTCCTCCTCCTCCTCCTCCTCCTCCTCCTACTCCCCCCCTTCCCCACTATTGGCGTTTTCCATTCTCCAGTCGTGGCTTCATCGTGTTCTCGGCGGAGTCGTTGGAGCTTCGTCGCTCGAGGCATCCCCGCCCCCGGCTCGGGGAGGCCTCGTGGACCTCCTCGCCGGAGGTGCCCCCACCCCCCAGGCGGTGGTGGCGTCGCCTCTCCCTCGGGCCCTCGCTCGGGCGTCCATCCCCGTGCGTCGTTCGGCTTCGTGCGCGTACTTTTCGCAAGGGGGTCCCAACTTCTCCTCGATGGTCCTCGCCGAGACACGCGCACGCGTCCGAGCGGTGCCGAGCCCCCCCCTTCCCCCCGACGCCTGCAGCCGCTTCAGCGCCTCCGCCTCGCGCTCCACCCGCCGCGCCTGCTGCTCCAGCTGCGCGGCCCGCCCCTGCTCCAGCAGCGCGGCCTCGGCGCGGCGGGCCTCCGGGGGACGGGGCTCGGAATGGTCTCCCGTTCGCGCATCGTTTTCGTGGCCCCTCCCTCTGGCTGCCTCCCGCCTTTCTCTGGCGACGGAGCGAAGCCACAACGAGAACGGTGCACTGCTCACGTCGCAGCGCGGCAGAGGCGGTGCGCACGCGCGCTCGGGCAAGCCGGGTGACGGCGCTGCGACTTGCCGGCAACAAGAATGGAAACGCGGGGGAGGAGCGGCCGTGGGATAAGGGGGAAGGCGCCACACCCCTAAACGAAAACGGCACACGAAAATGCAAGAACACCGTTTAGCCCGCGCCCAGCGAGAGGAAACGACCGAACGGCACAGCGAGCACAAGCTGTCGGAGGACCGCGGGGATTCCTTGGACCGGCAGCGGGCCTCCCTCCCACCAAACCCCTGGCACAACGATCGCTCGCCGCCGAAACCCTGCTCTTCGTGTCGTGTGACTTGGCGGCGGCGTGAAGCAGGAGCAGAGGAAGAGAACAACCCAGACGTGCTCGCGTCGTGAGCAGCATCGCACCCGGGCAGTGTTTTGCCACTTTCGGCCCCTGGGGGCCCTCGCTGGGCCTGGGGCCGTCGAGACGACCAAGGATGCAAAGCCGCTCCCAAGGGGAGATGGGCCGCGACCTCCGAGTTCGACGCTGGGAGCAAGCCATGATGTCGGGGCCAGGGGAGGCGCCAGAGGCGCCACGAGGCCGGGGCCCAGCAGCGCCGACCCGGGAGTCCGCGAGTGCCTCCGCTGGAGAGCGCCGCGGGAGCCCCTGGGAGCGTCTGGGAGCGCCTCGGAGCCGTCAGGCGCTCCCAGGCTCCCGCCTGCGCCCATGAGCACCCCCAGGGGTGCCCACGCGCCTCCAAGCGCTCCCAACGTTCATGTCAGTGCACAGATTCCTTCTTCGAACCGCGTCCGGCGGGCGGGCCGAGACCAGCTGCACGCAACGAGGTTCGTGCCGCCCCTCTTCTTCGTCCAACCCTGAGGGGCCTACGACCCCACAGGCCTGCGACCCCAGAGGTCCAGGAGCTGCGACTCCAATCCCGAGGGGTCCTCGGAGAACTGGCGAGGGCTTCTAAGACGTGGGGGGACACGTTGAGGCGGGCGGCCCCGTGGAAGTCCTCCTGCTTGAAGGCCCAGCGGAGCTATAATCAGTTAGCGGGAGTGATCACTCAGTGATCAGAGTTGTCATGATAACCCAATTTGGGGCTACACGCTTGTTTTTTGTGTGGGCGCATTGTTATCTCGAGTGGCTTATGTGTTTCCTCGGAGAGGTGGATTTACAGATAATGGTTTTACGGATACTGGAGCTGCATTCCAGAAGTTGTAAGGCGTTGCAAGATCATTACCAGCGTTCGCTTGAAGTGCGGCTAATTTGCTGATTCAGTGGTACCCAACTGGCCAAATTAAAATTACGAGTTCGTCCGTTCTCCTCATCTGCATTATTGCAGATGGCAATAGTCAGGGGGTACTCAATACAGCAGCGCAAACAAGTTGACGCGCTGTCATGTCTAGCTAGGCCAATGCGAGCGGCGACTGCAGAATCGAATCAAATGGACACGTCGACTTGTAGATGATGGCTTGAAATGCGCCGCGGGGGCAAGGGGTAAACTAGTGAGGCGGGGGAAGGAGGGGCAAGATAAGAAAGAGGGGGACAGGCGTTTGGCAGCTGGTCGAAGAGAGCAAGTAAGTGCAAAATGCGTAGGATAATAAGGATGAGGATGAGGCGGATGAGAAGTGTTCCCTGTCACCGCCGGTCAAATGAACTAGGGGAAAACAGGAGGAGTGTGGGGAGAAGGGGGAGGAGGGGGTGGGGGAGCAGGAGCAGGAGGTTTGGAAATATGTTGAGGAGGCCACAATTTGATCGTCAAGTGGAGTATGCACATGAGCATGATGGCGATGAGGATGATGATGCTGCGAATGCTGATGATGGTGATGGTGATGGTGTTGATGATGATGGTAAGTACCCTGGTGGTAATGGTGAGGATGATGACGATGACGATGACGATGACGAGGACGAGGACGATGATGATGATGATGATGATGATGATGATGATGATGATGATGATGATGGCGACGAGGATGGTGATGAGGATGATGATGATGATGATGATGATGATGATGATGATGATGATGCTGATGCTGATGCTGGTGCTGATGCTAATGCTGATGCTGATGATAGCCGACACCCCTGAAAAGCCACATCTGCCTGCGTCTGCCGCCAATGCAACCATGCCACGCTACGCCCGCATACCCCGCCAGCGGCCTGGCCCACCGCCTTGCGACGCCGCCAGCAGAAGGTCCGCCAGCCGCGCCACCAGCGCCTCCGACATCCGCGCGGCGCGCTGCCTCGCGTAGTCGGTGCCCTGCCGGCTGCCTGGCTCGCCAGGCAGCGTCGCCACGCGGCGCGCAGCGGCCGCGGCCTCCGCGATGAACTGCTTCGCCGCCGCGCCCAAACGCCCTTCGACCTTCACGGCGAAAGGTACGACCGCGGCGCCGTAGCGGTCTCGTTTCCGGCGCTCAGCGTCGGCCGCGGCGTGGCCGATCGACCGTTCTGCCGGCCCCTCCCCGGCGGACCGCGACGTCGACCCACGCCGCGGCCGGGGCGCCAGGCCAGCTGACGACAAGGTCCCACAGCGTCTTCGATGATCCCGTCGTCCTGCGCGCGGAGAGCTCCGGAACGCAACGCTCGACGTCGACGTGCCCTCCGCGCGCCGAGATCTACTCAGCGAGGCCCCGCGCGATCTCGTTGTGCAGCCGGATGCGGCGTGGCCCGACCGGGCAGCACAACGCGCGGTAGCCCGCCACATCCACGGGGCGGCCACACGCGCCTTGGCGCCCCTCATCGCCTGCTGCCGCATTCTGGGAGTACTCGAAGGCGCACGTGGACGGGGCTCCCAGCACGTCAAGCAGCAGCCGGCGGCGCAGCATGACGACGAAGGCGGAATCGCGGAGCACCGCGTCGCCTTCTCGCATGAAACCGTTCCAGAAAGCGCCAGCGCCCAGCCCGCCGCCCGCGAGCAGGCGCGCCCGCTGTGGCGCAGGCAGCGAGGACCACAGCCGCGTCGCCGCGAGGGCAGCCAGCCCCCGGCAGGCCCGCGCCGCCAGCCGCCGCCGACCGCCCCCGGCGCGCCCCTCAACCTCTGGGTCCTAGCTGGCGGCCAGCAGCGAGACGGAGATGCCAGGCACGTCGTCCGCCTCCGCGTAAAAATCGAAAACCGATTCGGTCGGTAGCTCAGCGGCCCACGGGCCCGCCTCGTACTCGAGCAGGGCGCTCTCTGTGAAGGTGACGCGGCCCAGCTGCGCAGAGGTGCCCGCGGACTCCAGGTCGTCCCGCGCGCGGCTCGCTGAATGCGCATCTGGGTGGGCAATGACAGGACGACCCAGGCCCGCCGAAACTGCGAGGACGTCAGCCTCGACTGCGGCGTGGCACGTCCAGAAGGCCGCCTGCGCGCGGCAGATCCATGGGCCGCGCGCCCAAGCCTCCGAGGAAGGTGTGCACTGATGTGACGGCCGCGCTGTCCGGGTCCATCCGCTGGCCAGCGAGCGCTTCCATGACTGTGCTGACTGCCTCCGAAGCGCGCTGCAGGGCTGACAGTGGCGCCCCGCATGTCGCAACCCAGCCTTCTCGCAACGCTCTTCGCCAGCAGAATGTACGCAGCATGGCACGATGATGATGATGCTGCTGATGATGATGATGATGATGATGATGATGATGATGATGATGATGATGATTTTTTACTCTGCATCAGGACCAAAAGAGCCTGCGCGGCGCTAAAGAAAAATATGGTCCGCCGCAGAGAGCCGAATCTCTCGTTAATCCCCGCTTTGGGGGCCACGTCTTGCGGGCGCTGACACAGGGGGGCTGCGTCGCGCTGCCACGAGACGCTTCGATGCGTCATTCATTCGTCAGACAAAAAGCTGCGGCCTCGTCTTCTGCTGCTGTGTCGAGCTGATCGCGTCGGCCTTCGGGCCGTTCGAGACGGGGCGACCCCGAGTCGGCAGAGTCTGGCTGTGCCAGCCCTGCTGGCCCCGAGTCTGCTGGCCCCGACAAGAAGACATAAAAAAGCTGAGACTGGCGGCGCACGCCCTACGGCATGCTCCAGCTCTGAGTCTTCCAGGACAGGCGGAGCACGCCCTGCAGCATGCTCCAGCCCTGAGTCTTCTGAGACTGGCTGCGGACGTCCTGCCGACCCCGAGTCGGTAGCTGACGGGGCGTCTGGCCTGGAAGCGACGACAGAAACTGCCGAGGCTGGCGGCGCGCGCCCGTCGGCACGCTCCTGCTCTGAGTCATCTAAGACTGGCGGCGCGCGCCCTGTGGCATGCTCCTGCTCTGAGTCTTCTGAAGGCGGGCGCTGGGGTTGCACCTGTGAACCGCGGCGGCTGGCAGGGGGCGGGGGCACCCCAACAAAAATTCGCGTCGTAGTTCTCGGTCGAGAAGGGGCGCGCCACTTGAAAAGGGTCCCCATTGACTTCGGCCATTTCCACATTCCATCTTGTCACCCACGGGTAAAAAAGATCCCACGACTAATTCAGGTCCGTTTGAATCCCCCCCCCCCTCGCCCGGCCGAAGAGCAAGGGGGGGGCCAGCGGCCTGGAGGCGCGCGACCGCCACCTCGCGACGCTGCTCGAGGAGCGGCTGAAAGTGATCGTCTTCGCACCGAACAGCGCGCGCAGCGATGAGACGCACGTGGTGCCCCGTCGCAAAAACATTGCGCATGTCATGAGATGTGGCCAGGAATGCCAAACGTGCAGCTCGGAGCTTCCAGATCAAAAGCTTCGCCATCAGCATGAGGGCCTCGCGGCGTCTGGAATGGGCCCCTCCGCGGGCCTAGTCGGGGGGGGGGGGGGGGGGGGGGGGGGGGGCGTTGGCGGCGCCGTATTGTAGCAGTCCGACGCGGAGATGCAGCCGCCAGAAATGATCGAAACAATGAAGTAGCCGTGCGCATGAGTGAATGTCGGCGATGACGTCGCCAGTGGGGGCCTTTCCTTGTTTTCCAAT